CCCCAAAACCCCAAAACCCCAAAACCCCTCTAAATTCCTTAGAAGTTGAAAGAGATGAACAGGTGTAACAGAGGGGTGGTTAAGGAAGAGAGGGGGAAGAAATGTGGGAAGGAAAGGAGTAGTGGCTTTGAGTGGAGAGTTTGGTGAGGGTGGGTGGAGAGATGGGGGGTTGTGTGTGATTCGTGCAGGGTTAGGAGGAGTTGGGAGGAGGTATTGGAGATGGGGCGGGGCAGGAATGGGTAGATTTGGTAGGGGTTGGGTGGGATGAGGGGTAGTAGTATAGGCAGGATGGTGGGTTTGTTAATGGTAGTGGTAGAAGTTGATATGTTTGATGTGAAGGAAGGGTATAGATTATTGGTGGTTATACGATGTATTATTGGTGGAGTAGGAATGGCATGATTCTATATTGTTTTTGAATATATTCTTCTGAGAGTGGCTACTCTGATTTTTATTATCTATCCTTTCTTGACTGCTATACTTTCATATATTATGCTAAAGAAGCCATTACTAAGGCCGAAAGTAATTATTATAATTGGTGCATTTATTGGATTGTTCATCTTAACTTTACACAAGAATGATCATTATTAACAAGGAAAATTTTACACACTAGGACTTATCATAGTATCTTTCACCTGCTTAACAGCAACTCTGGTAGCAATATTATTGAGAGTTCTTAATAAAGAAATACATTACATGCTGACTCCGTTCTGGTTTATTATAGCAATGCTAGTAATCGCTCTTTAAGCTCTCAGTGTGTATCAGTCAACTTATCATTTTGAAAATTATACTTATGTTGACCTTGATTTTTTGATTTTCTGGGCTGTTTATTTATGGAGGACAAGTCTTCAAATCTCTTACATTCAAATATTCAGATGCTTCTCTTTTGTCTCCATTACAGTATTTTGATCTCATCTATCTTCTAGAAAGTTAGATTTTGATCTTTGATGTTAAACAAATCTAACAGATGGAGCTTCAGGAGCTCTAATTTTGATCTCACTGTTTGCTCCAATAGCTCAAACAATTTACCAATAATACTTTGATTCTTAACTACTTATTTCAGGATAAATTGAGAGTGACTCTTGAGCTAAAGTCTATCCATTATATTCAATGAAAGAAGCATATTTAGGGGTTTTGGGGTTTTGGGGTTTTGGGG